GACCGATAAACAAGGACAACCCAGCCCCCAACAAGGACCCCCGACCGTACACCAAGAACCAGTACAAGCAGTCTCAGGAATATAAACCCAAGTTCGATTTCCCGCAGCCTCGGCCCAAGCCGGACAACCCGTTCAAGAACCCCAAATGGAGGATCCCGCCCAACAACCCCAACACCTTCAAGGACAGAAACCCATTCAGGTCGTGGCCGCACAGGGATCCGTTCAAGATGCCCAAGAAGAACCCGTTCAAGCTGCCGGAGAAGAAGCTCGAGCCCAAGCCCGAGCCGGAGGTGAATATCGAACCGATGCCGAAGCAGCCAGAGCAAAAGGACGCAAAGCCCGAGCGGTACCCGACTCTCGAAGAGACGATACAGAAGAATGCAGAGCCGGCGCGGTACCCGACTCACGAAGAGTGGACCGAGCAGAGCAGGGAAATGGCTATCGCGAAACAATATGATCCGTGGCACGGAAATGATAAGAGCCCGGATGCGGCACCGGAGAATGAACCGACTTATGAACCGCATGAGCAGGATGCCCGAAGGGTTGGGAATTAAACGTCGATTTGTGATCACCAATAACACGGACGTCTTTGCTGCTGCATCTTTTTATCTCCCACGTCTGAGAGTTTGAGGATGTTCGGGAGAAGGAGCGGGAAGATGTAGAGGCGCGGTGAGGTTAATGACGATAAGCTCTGGATGCTTGAACCTGTATGTTTACCAAGCCATAGCGCGTTGTTGGAACAAGAACGTCAGGTGCTCATCTCTCAGTGCGAATTATTTGAGCTTTCAAACGATAAATGTAGGCAAGCAAGCATGTTGCTAGAAGCCGTTCAGTAGTGCCTTAGTTCTTCTGATCTACAACCTATAACATCTTTTAGTAAAAGTAAATTCCGGCCAGTCTAGCTACTCAGACATAGCATATGGGAGATGATGCCACGGTTTGTCAGTACTGCGAAACATCCAAAGCCAACTCCCTGTAGCACAAACCAGAAATCCATTGTCGGGATTGTTTACATCACATTTCGCAACTTTACCTCACGGACAATATTTCTCTGCACGATCCTGAGCAGCTCCTGGCCTAGCCATACTGTCGAACATGAAAAAGGTTGCTCGACAGATTTGTAGCCCCCGTACTCGACAATACGAATATGCCACCTTGACGGATTTCTGTCACTGCAAAGTTGAGAATCCTGGCGTCACCAAAGGAAATAACGTATTCTAAGCGCTGTTCTCACCAGGAGTCGGCAACTCCCAGAGCGAAAACGTAGCATCATAGCTATAGCGGGACGGACCTCGATTATTGAAGAGCGAGAAACATGGATACCAAGTGATTACTGAGAAGAACATCCGGATGTGTTGATGGCTGGTGAGACCAAACGCCCGCTAGCTATACCATTAACATCAGTAGGATCTTCCGGGCCACTTTCCAAGCAGCAAACCTCTTGACGGTCTTATATAAGTTGTACATACTACTTCGGTTGCCTGCCACTTGGCCACAAGCTTGAAAAGAGATTACCGATCGCAAAGCTCCAAGGGGTGGGGCTACTATGCCAAGTTGTGTGAAACTCTTCTTATCCTTTTACATACAAATCACCAGCGCAACACCTAAGACAAAGCCCAGCCACTTTACCCTAGACCAATCTTGCCCATCAGCTCCATATACCCCAGCGTATAAGCGCCAGCCCGAGACGGACATCCGCAGCCGAGAGACAAGACCTCTGGTCAGTAATGTTTCCAGGTATGCTACCCGATGAGTATGAAGTCGATACACAGATCACCGACAACAACTCTGGCGAAGCGCTGATGATGACGATGTGGATGAGCCTCAAGTCGTTGCCACGAATCGACGGTGCTCCGTCCGCTTTTGCTAGAAACAAGGGGATGAGGACTGCTTAAATATCTGCCCCGGGCATCGAAACAGCCTGGCATGTGTTGAACGGTTGCATTGGACGTTGGTCAACGCCAAGTTGGTTGGCTTCTAGAGGTCTTGCTTTGGCCGCGACTCGGCTCCCTCTTGTACCTACCTGCGTGCCTCGAGAAATTCAACTAGTACAGCCACAGAATAATAAGAAAGGGGCTGATAAAACCAGAGGGATCAATTTCAGCTTCCTCGGTGGACTAAAGGCAATGTGCTACATCAACCAGGAGCGTCTGTTTGGAACAGCGCATAGAAGGAAGGGGACTCATCGTCGACGACTGCGCGCCTGTCTCGTTGTCGTACTGTCAACTGAATGAGCCCTGACTTCTGGGCACGCTCATTCGCGAGCTGGAATCTACGGACAGATGTCTTACACACTGCACTTCGAACTCGAGGACCGGAGGAATACACTGTTCAGCTAAGCGATTTCCATCATATCAAAGGCGGGAAAAGACATCCAAAGACATTCGAAGCATACTGAATAGAAATTTCGAAAAGAATCACGCACGAACCAATGTAGCAGAAATTTTCACACCGACGTGTGCACTTCGAATCCACCTCAGTATGCAGCTATTCGCTATAGAGGGAACCATATACGTGGAAGCATGTCTCTCCATGTCACAGAACAAGTAGAAGAAGGTGACGAACCCAGATGCCAACGCCTTTGTTTTGCCCACATTCCATGACGAGCGAGTTCACTGCAAAATCCTACAAGCTATTTGCCAGAAAACAAAAGATCAGAACGCAAGGTTTCGGAAACAAATCAAAAGAACCGCCTCGACCTCGTCCTCGAACACCTCATCGCCAGTCCCCAACAACGACTGGCTCAACTGCGATGAACATCACCCAAAGTTGAGCAAGCTACCGGAAGCTAATCAGTATGATTCAATCACTCCAGAAACCTTTTCTCTCGGAACTTTCAAAACAGATCACCAAAAGAAAATCAAAGTCTAACCAATGCATAAAGCATCCAACTTGGACGTGGGCAGTAAGGAAGCGGAACTATAGCAGAGTCCGCGAACACAGCCAACAACCCTGAACTCTTGACCCCGCTCTCTGGCAGAGAGCCAGCCATCACATCGTCAATTTAAACTCCTTCCACCATAGGGCGATGGAAACAACCTACAGCAGGTCGGAAAATAAAATTGCTTACATCAACGCAAATCAGCAAAAGTCAAAGATCAAGCGCATCCTCAAACACCACCTGATCGGCAATCGGATGAAGCATGCCGACAGGAGGTACGTCTGGATGCCCCGCAGTGATGAGCACTCGGCCGGGGTCGCGACCAATGGAGAGGGCTTGGACAGCCGACCTTCTTGTAGCGGATCTCAGTCCCCAACATCATCCAATGACCCGGCGTTGTGGCAGAGTGGTCTAATGCGCAAGACTAGAAATCTTGTTCCTTCGGGAGCGTCTGTTCGAATCAGGCCAACGTCGATATTATCTTTTGCCAAACCCCCCAAGGGCTCTTGACCATTCTTTTTGTATCCCGCGAGACCGATAGGAACGACTCGGGCCCGATTGGATCTGCGCGTAAGATGCAGAGTATGGGCGGTTTGCAACGCAGTGACTATGAAGAGGATCAGCCTGTCACGGTCGCAAGTTCGAAGATCTGAAATGTGTCCCGCACGTTTTGGAAACAGACAGGGGTATGCCAGTTTACCGCTGAACAGAAACGTGTAACTCTGGACTGAACGGAGAGGCGAGACGGCATCAGGTTGTGTCCATGTTCCGACGTCTCGAGTTGAGGGGTCAGCGCTCAGAGCGAGGAGTAGTTAGACCTTGAGCCACCTGACTCGATTTCATCTCGACATCTCGTTTGGGCGCGTTGCTGAGTACGCCAAGCCACGGATTCAATGCGTGAGTTTCTCTTTACGGACGTCTTGCTGTTGGTCTGCTTTTCGTTCGGGAAGGTCTGGCTAAGTTCGAAGAGACTCTCGGGTGATGGGAAATAGGGGGAAGAAACGATATCTGAGCGATAGGCCACTGATTGGAGATCCTCATCAGCGAGCTACCCAAGGTACGGACGGGCTGGCAATGATTGATAGTGGACAGGCTGCGCCGCTGACCGCATTAGTCGGTGTGGCCACCTGAAAGCCGCATTCCCGACGATATATTCCCGCGCTGCACTCGATAGGGGCTTTCTGCAGAAACCAGCTAAAGTGTCACGCGAGCTCTCCATGATTTCTAGAAAGACGTGATGATTAAAGGGTCTCGGATCGTGTCGCGTCGCGCCTTGGATTCGGTAATCGACGGTGCTGTATTTAGCACCGCCATTCGGCGCTATATTCATCCTCTGGTACGAGGTTGCCTGCACTAGAGAATGCGGCCTGCTTCCAAGACCAGCGGTTTTGATCTCGCGTGATAGCAATTGGGGCGAATATGAATTATTGGACGCAATAACTCCCGCTTGACCAGATCTGAGACGATCCAAATGACGAGCAGTTCAAGAGCGGGCCTTTGACAAGTGGCCAAGTGCGATTTCAAGGCCAGTGTCATCTCCCGCACGGCGTCTAAGAAGGCTCCACGAGACCTCATAGCCGTCGAGTTCGATAATGGCAGGTCTCATTTGCCGCCGAAGATCTGTCAGATGACGGTGAGGGGCCCCAAAGGTACTGAGACGAACCTCCACTGTGACCAGCGACGTTCTCGATTGCCCAGCTCCGTGCGTCTTGATTTGATGCCATCGATGCTCGACAATCTGGAATTTGGCCAAAGGAAATAGCACTGAGGTCGATGATCAGCCAGTGAGCAGACAGGGAGCCTCTCTTGGGACGAGGTGGAGCCAGGTCAGGGGTGGGTAGACTGGGTGGGTGGTCAGAGCAGAAAGTCCAGACCAGTGAGTTCGTTGGATGGTGAACCAGAGATTTTGGTCTCGTTCAGTGCCTGCCCTAACCGTGAGAGAGCTCCATGCGGGCAACTGGAGCTATGCAGCTGGAGCACAATAGCTTTGTGGCGCTGAACCATTGTATCGCCAAGGACCGAGAGGAAAAGTCACCTTCTGTAGTACGGCCCGGCCGTCAGGCGTAGGGGGCAGCAGGGCGCCAGGAAGTGAGCACAGCGCGTTAGAGAATCCGAAGCGTTAGTGCAAACTTGTGCAACTGCCAACGCGGCTTGGAGCTGCAGCTAAAGTGCGGTGTGATGGGCGATTCCCTGAAGAAAACGGTAGCATAGCAGTAGCATGACAAGGCGAGCCGCGAGTGCATGGAAAAGCCGGTGACCTGCTGCAGACCCTCCCCCGAGACCCCGTCTGACGACCAATATTGGCTCCGTTCAACCCCGGGTCCAAATGCTCTGCATTTTCTGGAGCCTGGACCGAGAAGCGGCGGAGAAGAGTGCCCACTTCTTCCACAGGATGCCGCTTGGCGGTTGGTTCAACGGGCGCGTGGGTGTATTGGTATTGGAGTCGCTGTCGCAGTACTCGGGGGGCATTGCTCAATGCCGATAGCTCTCCATACAATGCGGCCACATTCCATGCGACGCAATGCCCAGTTGTGGGCGCCGTACCTCTTCGGGCAGCCGGTGCTGGAAGTTTGCAAGTCAAAGACCGCAGCCTGATTGAACCGGGCCTCTTATTAGCAGAGATGACGTGAACCAAAGTTTTCACGTTTGGGGGCTCCAATGACACGCGTCTGAACGTGGATGGTTCAGCGATGGCTTTTCTGTCTCCACGACGACTGAGACGGTTAAGAGAGGCTGATATAGTCCAAGGCCGAGCAACAGCAACATCGCTAAGGTTGATCGTTGATGACAATGTTTGGGCTTTGATGGCTCGCCTTCGCCGGTGCAAAAGGCCCGTGGTTTGATATGTGACAGCTTGGCGGTTGAGCAGAGGCGGGTGATGACAGCCCGACTGACAGTCGTGACAGCGAACCGCCGTTTTGGCAACAGAGCGTAACGGACGTGATGGATGAACGAGCGCAAGGCAAATGACGGCGATGGAGGACGAGCTTGAGATCAGGCCCCTGAGCCTCCGGAGTAGCGTTGACGATCGAGAGTTCCTAGCGTGAGCTTGTCGATGGCACCAAGTCCCAAGCACGAGGCGGAGGCAGGTGGATGGAAGCCGCCAAAAGCGCAGACAATAACCGACAGAGTTGCGGGCCGATATGGTTCGTACTTTACGCCTACTTACGGCCAGGTCGCATCTTGCAGTTGCAGTGAAGACCTGGAGTCGCGGCCAGTGCCAGTCAGCAGTGCTAATTGCAGTCATTTTTTTGCAGGTCATTAAGCGGTGTGGAGTCCAGAATGGAAACCTCCCACGTCGGGAAAGATCCACCTCCTCTCCTGCTCCTGCCCTGCTTTAGCTTGATAGGAACGCTGGAAGGAAAGTGGCCCAGTGATATGATTGCCCGCGGTGACTAAGACGAATGGACCGGACCTTAATAACGGCGGAGTGGGATTGCCCGGCCATTATTACCTGTTGCTGGCTCTTAATGCCCGTTTAGCCAGGGGAAGCAAAGCCACTAGCAACGATAGGCTTCTGGAGGACAGTGGAGGCTATGAGGCCCCACTGACTTGTTCTGCAAGGTACCCGGCCCTCCAATTCACTGGCTGCAGGTACGAACCTGGAAAGAGGAAGTGCATACCACTGGTGACTGCCCTGCAAAGTGCAAAGCTGGAGCGGGAAGGAACTGTCCCGGGTGTGTACCTTCCTCACCTTATCCCGCGTGAGGCGACAGAGAGAGAAAGAGCGAGAGAAAACCAAGAAGGTAGGTACTGTTGCATTCAATATTCTCTAATGTGACTGGTCAGTCGATAAATAAGGCACGTTACGTTAGGTTCTCCAACAGTTGGAAGGAACCACATCGATCAAGAGAAAAGGAGGGTTCAATTGCAAGGCCAGAACGCAGCAAACTCTTTTGGGTAATGCCGTTCGTGTTGAGTAAAATTTGGCAGAGATGAACAGAACCATATTAGGACGAGGTCGTATTCGTCGCCCATTCGAGCCGGGCGGGAAGTTGGTAGAATCCGCAAATGCTTCTTTCTCCTTTCTTTTTCCGTCACTGCCAATGCTACGGATACATACATTTGCGCAACGGTTCGACAGTCATCGACTCATCGGTCATCGGTCCCGTGTCTCCCACATCGCTCCCACCTTATCCCGAACAGCATCATTCATATTTAGAATCATACCTCGCCGGATTCCGAAAAAGCATATTCATGCTGAGTTGCATCAGTCTCTAAATATGGACTGGATATAGATGGATGAGTGGGCTCATTGCGCAACTAGTGTGCCTACGGTCCACGGGTACATAGTAGCTCCCAGTATGGATGCCATGTTTCCCGTAGCATCCCGCACCTTAGATAATTAGGGGACTCCGAGGCAGGTATCACCATGATTGCGGCCTCACCTGAGGTGTGCGTCCATACTGAACTTAGCACTATGTATATGCACTCACACAAAAATAAGGATATGAGCAATTCTCCGGCCCTCAGCTTGAGTGAAGTGACGAGGGATGAGGCATGCTCGCATGCGGCAGAACAGCGCCTTTTGTCCCATCCGCCGCTGCCAGCCTGCCCTTCATTGTTGCTTGTAGATTGCTGGGAAGAGGACCTGAAACGAGCCAACACTGGGGAAGGCGGTCATCATCCTCTCCATGTGGCATCGCTGGCCTGCTCATCGCCTGCATCGCGTGCGCCCTGCCTTGGTTCTGCCTTGTTCTTTGTTCCCTCAGAATGCGGTAGCACTGGGGACAGGTCACTCCATGAGTCCGTACCTTACATAAGGCGAAGTACTTGTCCCAATCACCATTGTCAGAGTTGATTACTCCTCCCCAATGTGGACAAGGCAAAAACTGTAGAATGCAGGTGAGAGGGAATCCAGAAAGGATGATTGCCTCTGCAGGGTAAGAACGCCGTGGTTTGCTGATCCACCCCGCGCCGTTCCAGGTCCCTTTTTTCATCTTTTTCATCTACGACAATTTATCTGGTCTGTGTCTAAATTCTAAGGACAAGAGGAGCACCACCTCTTGAACCCTTCATCATAGTCAAACCCCGTTGCACGCAGCACGCGGCATGCCATCGGACATTGGACCCTTTGCCCGTCTCTCCTCTCATGCTATCCCGTCTATGACTGTCCCTCTTGTCGCAGGTGAACAAGTCTGCTCCTTGCGCAATCCTACTGTCACGATTGATCCTCAACATGGACCAGTCGCCTAAAGCCTAAACAACGAGCAAGGACTGTAAATCCTCGCAAATCCCTCGATGATGTGTCTGCTGCTGCTGTGCCCCTCCTCGTCTCGTCTCTTCTCCCAGTGTTCTCCTCGTCTCCAAGCACCCATCACATCACATCACATTACCATTGTCTCCGTCTCAGTCTCAGTCATACCCGAGGACCCAAGGTGGTAAGAACTGTAGTCCTTCCGACACTTCTCCATCACATCAAACCTCTCTACTACTTACCTTCCAATCCACGGATAGGTGTCTCTGGGTGTGCCTCTCTCTCCGCCCCTCCCCTCCATCCGGACCCAGCTCTATCCTTTGCGCACAGAGAGATGCACCATGCAAACACCCCAGATCCCTGCTTGATGCTCGTCAACCGCCAGGCCCAACCTGGCATGGGCCGGACAAGGCCGCCAGGGGTTCTCTCGACAGCCACTGTCTGTGCTTCTCTCTGACCACCCACACCACGAACAGGGGTCGCCTCTCTTTACTGGCCCTGAGACGCTCGTGGACGTCTCCTTTGCTCCCCAAATCCACCAAATGTCCCGACACCCTCTTCCCAACTTCGAGACGTGAGACGCAACATCTCTTCCCCAAGCGACTCATTCTCAGACCAGCTTATCCCGTCCCGTTTCCGTCTCTAACCATTACAACAGCAATAGCACACAGTCTTTCACACCCTCGAGGCTCGACTGTGCACTCACTCACTTACCTGGAGCTCGTGTTTCTCAACAGCTGCGCTGGTCCCAAAACACGCTCCAACATTGCATCCTTGACAGCAACCAAGATCCCGGGACTCGTGCGAATCTGCAGAAGCGCTCCGCCTCCAAAAAGAAAGACCTTCAGACACCGCTTGGGTCACACGCTCACCCTCAACATCACTCACAGTTTACCCATACACCGCTCACACCCGTGCCTGGGAGTTCGCCTGCAAACTGCAACGGGGGGTTCCAGTCGTCCACCACCCCGTCACAGCAAATCCACATAGTTTCCGATCTTAAGCTGGAAACAAGGCGCGATCGTGCGTCCCACCACCATTAAACTTCCAGGGACAACGTCAGTTCACGTCACTACCGCCCTTTTCTCGCTTTCTAGAAACACTCAAGAGCCGTCTTGCCCCCGTTGCCCCGTCCGCGACTTCTCATTCTTCCGCCACATCCGCATTGGGATTGCAGACCGCGCCTACGGAAATCAGCTTGATGCGGCCTCAAATGTGCATGGGAATACAGACGATCTACCTTTAGTGAAAATCCGGAGAGTTAGGGCGTATTTGCAAGAAGGACAACGGGATCAGTAGCCAAAATGGCCTTACCAAGGGAGTCGAGCTTTATGCCGGCCATCAAATGCTCGTCATGCGGCCTCGATGTGGAAATTTCCATGATGGGCGAGCACGTCTGCGGCGGTCCAGGAGCAGAGCGTAAGCTATCCACACTCGATCTAAACCTTTGGCAGAGTCAAGCTCACATCATTTACAGCATCGGCGCCGCCAGATCGTCCAGACAGCCTGGGCTCATATGATCAGCCGCCGCCGTTGGACAACAAGTACGGACGCATGGCACCTCCAACATTAGATACTAGTGCCGCCAGTATGCCAATAAACCCATCTTGACTCCTCGCGCGTAGTTGGCTAACCGAAGTAGATCTCCCATACTCGCGGCAAGGGCAATTAACACCTATAAGCACATCGACTGGTTCAATCAGCATCTCACCCAAGACACCGAACAGCCAGGCTATGGGCCGCAACGACGACTATTTCCAACCGCAAATCGCAAACGACTACAACTCAAGCCAACAATCTCGACGACCTGGAGGATACGGGGCATTCGATGATGGGGACGACTACGGTTCTGAACAGATGTACCCAGGCGAACAAAAGAAGCAAGCGCCAAGTCTTCTCCAGCGTATGAACACAATCGCGCCGGGGCCTTTCGAGATGGGCAGGAGAGCGGGAGGAAGAGGAGCCACAAAGAACGCTTTCGCCCCTTCGAGACAGGATTCTTTGACTCCGGATGACAACATGACAAACGATCGGCCACTGACTTCAGCGTCCAACAACTCCTTCATGTCTTCTGGAAGCAGCAACGCTGGCGGTATTGCGCCACCGAGACTACCAAGAAAGAATGGTTATGGAGGATTTGGGCCGCCAGGAACAACCCCCGAAGATATCGAACCCGAAACCTATGTTAGCCGCGCAGGCACCTTCCCGCGACCTAGCGAACCTATTGAGCCGCCTCTGAGAACGCCCTCAGCACCTCCTACCCGATCTGACAGGCTTAGAGGACAGCCGAACGGCGGAGAGCATGAGAGGAAGATATCAATGGGGCCCGACACATCGAGAGCTCCGCCGCCAAGAACGAGTCTTCTGCGCCCGACGACGTCTGGAAGGGATGGTGCGCCCCAAGTGGACCTGGCGAGCGAGTTTGGTTCATCAAACCCGTATCACACTCCTTCAGCTTCTACGTCGTCCGGAGCGTCCATGTTCAGCCATGGTCGCCAGGCCAGTTCTCAGAGCAGCTCACAGTCCAGCCCGGCGAATCCACGTGTACGTCGAAACCCGTCAGACGTGACCAACTTTGACAACTTGATGAACGACATTGAGTCTTCCATGGAGGCTATGAAGTCTCCTGGTATGCCGCCGCCACCACCCCAGAAACCGCTGGCGAACCCGTACTCGAATCGTCGCGCACCGCCATCTGTGGACCTTCGAGATGATCCAGCTGTGCAAGGAGGCAGACCCCGTGCGAGATCGCCACTTGTGACACCAGACTACGACCGTCGCAACCCCATGGACCGTAATCCTATGGATCGTTACAACCAAAAACATGAGCGTCAAGCCAGCGATCAGCGCAGCGTTTCGTCTCCGCCCCGCAACCGGCCCTCGCGAGGCAACTGCAAGTCTTGTGGCGATGCCATCACTGGTAAAAGCATTTCATCCTCAGACGGCCGTCTCACCGGACGCTACCACAAGGCTTGCTTCGTCTGCACAACATGCCGAGAGCCCTTTTCTTCAGCGGAATTCTACGTTCTCAATGACAAGCCTTACTGTGGTAACCATTATCACAAGCTCAACGGCAGCTTGTGTGGTTCCTGCAGACGTGGCATCGAGGGTCAATACCTGGAAGACGAAGAACGCATCAAGTACCACGTCGGTTGCTTCCGCTGCGGCGACTGCGGGATGTCCTTGTCAAACGGCTACTTCGAAGTCAACGGCCGATCATACTGCGAAAAGGACGCCTGGCGCCGCATGCAACCACCGCCTCGAATGGTCAACGAAGAGCGACGAGGACGCTCCCCTGGTGGTCTCGGTGTTCCCGGACAAGGTGGCCGCCGACCTAGTAACGGACAGACCGGCATGAGACCACCAATTGGCCTTCCTCGCGGGCAGAGAATGGGTCCCGGTGCCGGACTTGCGCCGCCCATGCCGCCTACCATGAACAAGCGCATGACGAGACTCGGAATGATGTAAACCGCCAGGAATGCCAACCCGGATCCTTTCCGACTAAACGTATTCGATTCGTCGTATATGAATCATCATTTACAATGCATTTTCAATACCCCACGACACGCTTACGACCACGACACAAACCTCATCTCAACCCACCACATACACTTCCATTTTTTGTTTACCATCTGAGTTTTATATACCCAGTCCTTTGTGGACTCTGTTGATACCTGCATCGGACGACGCGCTTGTCTCGTCTCCGTTTTGAGCATGAGCTTCACAGAAGCTCTTGAGGAAGGGGGAAGCCATTCACAACATTGGAGACATTCCGAATTACATGGCAAGAAGAAGCAGAGGAAGTACCTTGCAGGCGATGGGGTTGCACACGAGTGCTTGTACATAGCTAGCCATCGAAAGAGGCTCGCCGGTTTTGAGACCATAACCCGTAGCAAGCCCCAAGAGAAAGATCAATCTTGAGTCAATATCTTCAACTATTTGCCAGAAGTTTGTGTTGCATGTGAATTACCCGAAGTCAGTCTGACTGACGATGGCACAGTCTCGGCTCGTGGCTCTCTATTTGTATTCACGTCGTATACAGTCGCCATCCATGATCAAAATAGTCTATTCTTTGATGTATCTAGACCGGATGGTATCGATTTGTGGGACGCAAGCTGACAAGCTCTCGTTCCGCCTCGTTGTGCGTCATCTCAGACTTGCACCCTCTACCGATCTCATCAACTTGAACATTGACCCCGACTCTCAACTTCCCTCTGCAGATACCTGAATCTCGCAGCGAACAGGTCATTACTCATGACTCTCAAGACCGTTCTTTTCTTAAGATGAATCGGCCGATGGGAGCTGGACGTACTGTTCACGCGGAAGAGGACGCTGGGAGGGCACATTGTCGGGAACTCGCCATGTTCTGAGGACTCACGCAACCACTGCTGGCCTGAGAGATGAATTTTGAGGGACTGTTGTTTTCTCATGTCGATATTTCCTCGAAGCAGATGGAACGAATGAGGTGGGCGGGCATAGGACAGATCTTGGAATAGACTGGATAGCGTCTACATATGGTAGCATGGAAAGCTTGGCATGTCCGTACTTCCCAGACTTGAATTTTCTTTCGAGGGTTAGTGGGCTTTCATTTCGAGGTGAGTAGGATATTCATCATTGTGATGGCTTCATTCAGAAGCTCTCAAGTCATTTGTCGTAGGCTTAAGTAATCATGCAAGATGCCCTAATAAGTAGGTAGGTACTTCCACGTCGAAAGTTGGTGGAGTACTTCAGTTTTGCGAAAATGTCATGCTCCACCAGGAGGTTGTTTCAAGAAGAGTGGCTAGTGTCGTGGGTTGATGAGGCTGGCATCGTGCGCTGGATACTTCGCACGGTTGAAGGACAATCCGAGTCGCCTTGGCTGATCCCATTCTGGCGCGCGGCGTGTCCGTACAGAGGACAGTGTCAGTGGTTCGTCTGGTTGAGAGTGGCCCGGTTGGGTTTCACTGCGAGCGGGTGTTCCGTGGAGCGCGTGTGCATTGCTAGATGGAAATAGAAAGAGTGGATGGGACGTCAGACGGATGGATGGCGGGCCTCTCGCTCGTTCTGAGACTGTCGAGCGTCGACACATACATAGTACACCAGGCAGTCAACGTGGTCGGACAGGAGAGGATAGAATGCCAGATGTTGTTGGATGAACGTGACGGTGGTACGCGAATTGCTGACAACTTGGCAAGGTAAGGGGAAGACAAAGCAGAGCGCCCGTGCCTATTAGCCAGATGTTTTTGGCGGACGGTGGTGGATAAGGGGGATGTTGTGATTTCTTCTCTTGCTGCAGCTGTTAGACATGATATGTGAGGTCTGGCGATGGTTTGATTGGGAAGTTTCTTTTTCTCCCATCAATCTTTTCTTTCACGACGTCTCTCATTGATGGAAATGATGTGTTTGCAATTTCGAGATAAGAGCGCTCGCCCTGCGTCCACAGCCGCAAGTCACCTGCAGACTGCAGCCGGTCCCTCCTTGCCTTGCGCTGCGGTAGAGCGTAGGCAAGTGGTTATGTCGTGCGTCTTGTTTCGAAAGCTATCAGAGCAAGACTGCAATGGAAGAGACATCGAAGGGTTCGAAGTCGCGCGCATTTATGCTGGTTTGATCTTGAGAGCACAGACTTTCTGTTCTGCTGATGCAAGGCCAAAGTGTGAGGCAGAGGGCACTGTCTATTGCGGGTGTCTGTGTGATGTGATCCTCTCTGGAGACAATGACATTCAGTGGCACCTTCTTAAACGGGCAGAGGGCCGTGAAGATCTTCTTCAACTACCTCTCCCACTCCTCGAGCCGAGTCGGTTGTCTTTGTTAGTGACTTGGTGTCATAGCTGAGAATGAGCGGGAACGGTTAGACCCGCGTATTCCCTTCGAGAAACTTGTTATCCCCTTACACGTCGCACTTCTCCTCCTTATTCGTGCGGTATCCGGACGTAATTGCCATCTTTGCCTCGTCGTTTGCAAGGCCTTCCACACTTCCCCTCGCTGAGGCAGCCAAGACGCGTGGGATATCCGGCAGCGGCAAGGTACGTGTAAAGTGCTTTTTCAGCGTAAGGGGCTAGCTGAGCTGATGAGGTATCTCGACGCCCGAAATTGGGTGTCTCGGTACTTTGGAAGAAAAAGGCGATTAACTCGGATCGACAGGGGTGTCATGGAAAGGGGAGCTCGGGACTAGCGTGGTTTTGGAAGCGCCACTTTTTGGTGCCGTTCCTGGTTTCGTAGCGTACCTTAGCCAAACAAATGCGGCTTGGACTGGTCAGGGAAGAGAAACAAGCCAACACCGTCTTTCAGGGCGTTCAACTTTTGGCCAAAATTTTCGGTCAAGTCGCCTCTGGTGAAGGATACTTGGCTCTTTGTTCGCGAAACAGGACCAACGGCGCGAGACCTGTGCTTGACAACCCGGCATTGAGGTCGAACGCGCGGCTTTCTTTGTCGTCTTGGATTTTGAAAATTTTCGTCGTTTGTCTCGTCCGGGCAGCATCAACGGGATGCAGAACAAGATGAGGTGTCCTGGTGCAATCACCCTCCTGAGATTGAGACATCCACTGATCGCTGGCTTAACCGGCGAAACATAAGCGCGCTGCCAGCTGCCGCTATGGTGTGTAAATTTGTAAGGCATCGTGGATGGGGACGATTGCGATTAAAGTGCTTCAATATGGCTCCAGTGAATCCAGTCCGAACTTGGCTCTCCCCTTTTTTTCTGTTAGTGTCGCTTGCCGAACGCCATTGGAGTCTGGTAGAGATGTTTGGGCAGAAAATAAACAAAAAAAGTCCGTCATACCGTATATCCATGCCAACTGTGACAGCAATGGTCCCGCCCATCCCACGCGACCTGAGTCTGGTGTGATGGATTGATTGCCGGGTGCCGGCGCCGGCAGCCAGGACCTGATTCCCATCCAATCCTCTTGTTAACAAGAGGTGGAGGGACTCAGGGAGGACCGGTGGGCGACATTTGCGTCCCTCTTTTAGAAATTAGGTGGACGGTGGCCACTTTCTCACGTAACTGGCGATCTACATCCGACTCGGAGAATGGTCGGATTCGTCACTTTGCGACTTGTTGGTTGGCTTGCTGCTGTCTGTCTCCTTTTGCGTGTTGCAATGTGAATGCGGCGACGTACGCGGTCTATCTGCAGATATCCGCGGGACGCCTTTGAGATACCTCGAGGTACATTTCGGACCAAAGTACCTACCTTACGTGCTTACGTGCCTTCCTTGAAGTGTAGGAGAGAGTAGGCGGCCAATTGTATGTACATCGTTCTTTCTTATCCAATTTAGATCCCACGTCGTTCCTGTACCTTACGAGATGTACTTCGTACCCTGGGTCTCTACCTAAGCAATGGAGCAACTCGATTGGCGGTCGCCCTTTCCTCTTTTTTCCCAACTTCCTTGCTTCCCCTTCCATGATCCTCCTGCCTCTTGCCTAGTTAGTGCGCCTTCCCTTTTCTTGTCCTTCCTGCCCACTATTCTTTGCCCAGAGCTCGACTCGACCTCCTCTCTCTCCTGAGTTCTGAATCCTGGCAACCGCTGCCATTGTCGTAGTCGTCTCTGTCCTTCCACTTGCCTTCCACTCCTTCTCCTTTCTTCCCCTTTCTGGCTCTTGGTGGTAGAAACACAAATCTTTCTGCAATCGCGGCAATAGCAATAAACACTTATCGTCGACATTGTCTCCGTTTCACTTCAGATCTTACCTGGATTTTGCGGAGAGGCGTGTTCCAGTCTAGACTTTTCTGTCTCTTCCTCCCTTTCTTCCCCCGCGCTACCTACTCGCCCCCCGTCCGATCCATTGCACCACACCCCCGAAAAAAATCCCAACTGGGTCTCCTTTGATAGGAGCCGTGCCACTCTCTAATCAACGAGTCTTATCCAATCTCGCCAAGCCCCCATAACAGGTCCCGCTCACACTGCAGCGTTGTTGTCGTTCGAGCCAGGTTTCTTCTCGATTGGGTTTTGCGAGGCGCGCGAGAACTTACCACGTTCCTTTCAAACTTCGAAAGACCAGCGCTTCGGGTCGTCATTCCTTTGGTTGTGTGTTTTCCCGACCGCCGCAGCATGCCTCTATAGCGCCGCGGCAAACATTCCAACCGTAACCTATACCCAATCGCCCGTTCGATCAGCACCCTTTTTTTCCCACAGCGGATTGCCGATTCTTTAATAACCCCCAGTCGACCGCCGCCCGCCGCCGCTTGCCGCTGCCGCGCTGGCCATGTTGACCATGCTCAAACAACAATCATCGAGAGGCTTCATCGCCCCGAGGGCACGCCCCAAGACGCTGCTCTTTCTCGCTCTGGCAATTGTCACCGTCTACTTCCTGGCCACACGCGGCGCTCCTGCCGGCTATCACGTCGTCCCCTGGAACCAAGACGGCACCTCTCCACCCCCCGAAAAGGCCGCACCTCCTGAACCGCCAAAGTCGGAAGAGGAGAGGAAGCAGGATGAGGAGAGACAAAAGCAAGAGAGAGAAAAGCACGAGCAAGATCTGCGAGACGAGTTCGCGCGGGAGTATGAAGCTGCCAAGAAGTACGTGCCCTCCTGTCAATCCCGACTGCGGGAACGTCAGCTGTCGCGCATGCAGGAGAGACTGACATTTTTAACTTTACAGGCTTCCCGGCAACGACGCGATCTACGGAAACACACTTAATTCTCTGAAGGATAAGGAAAACAGAACCGCCGAGCACGCCGCCAACCTCCGTGAGTCTGGCACGCAGGAGGAGGCCTACACCAACCAGCGACCGGTCTACTTCAACCCTTACCCCGACTACAACAGCGAAGAATGGAACAAGACGCATCGCGCGCCTCATGTGCCCTGCATTGGTGCGACTGGCGAGGCCGTTGATGATCTCTTGGTCTTCAAGGGTCATCCTGCGAAATTCCCCAACCCGGGCTTCGGCGGCTTCGATGTCCTGGACATGGATGGCAACATTTGCTACGAGCGCGAGACCAGACTTGGACCCTACGGTCTTCTTCCTCAACTCAGCAAGGCCGGTCTTCGCATTGACTGGGACAACATCAACTGGGGCGACCTCCAGGAGAAGTGTATTGAGAGAAACGCTGCCCGCTTCGACGAGGGTAAGCCCAACGAGTACATCAAGACTGCTTACCCCGACATCGCTGAGAAGTACGGCAAGGAGGTCGAGGAGGAAGAGGAGGCCAACGAGAAACGAGGCCTTACCAACAAGTTCAGGGGCGGGTCCAAGGGCGCTAAGGTGACGACTCCCGACGCCCGTACTGCTGTCCTTCTTCGAACCTATACCGGCAAGAAGTACACGGAGAACGACAAGCAGGTCATCCGTTCTCTCATTTCTGAGCTTTCGCTCCGATCCGGTGGCGAATACCAGGTTTTCCTGCTACTGCACGTTCGCGACCAGGCTCTCGACATCTGGAACGACGAAGCCACGTACCAGTACGTACTCAACGAGCATGTGCCTCTCGAGTTCCACGGCATTACCAAGCTGTGGAATGACCAGGCTATGTGGAACCTGTACACAGCACTTACCGACGAGAACGAAAAGAGTGTGCATTCTGCCCAATGGCTGTCGGTGCAGAAGTTCAGCCAGGACCATCCCGAGTTCGACTTTATCTGGAACTGGGAAATGGACGCCAGGATCATCGGCCACAACTACGACTTCCTAAAGCGCCTCTCCGACTTCTCCAAGAAACAGCCTCGCAGAGGTTTGTGGGAGCGCAACGAGCGTTACTATATCCCCGATTTCCACGGAGACTACGATACCGACTTCCGCAAGGACGTTGAGCAGCGCACCCGCGGTAACCAGATCTGGGGCCCGCCCAAGCTGCCTTTCATCAACCCCGTCGGCCCTAAGCCTCCTGTCGAAAACCCCGAGAAGGAGCCGTACAAGTGGGGAGTAGGCGAGGATGCGGACATGATCACTGTCGGCCCCATCTTCAACCCGATCAACAGCAGCTGGATCATCTCGGACCACATTTGGGGCTACAGAGACGAAAAGTTCCCCGACCCTGCAAAAACCCTCCCCCGCCGAACCACCATTGTCACCCAATCTCGTGTCTCCAAGCGCCTCTTGGACATCATGCATGTTGAGAATCTTCGTGGCAACCACATTGCGTCGGAGATGACCCCTCAGACTGTCGCGCTTCTCCACGGCTTCAAGACTGTGTTTGCACCTCACCCTACCTGGTTTGACCGCCCCTGGAATGGCACTTTCCTCGAGAAGTGGTTCAATCCTGGTCCTCGCGGCGAGAGCGGTGGCGAGGGCAGTCCTATGGGCTGGGGAAGAGAGCGTAGATGCCAGGGCATGACTTGGTACTACCGCGCCGAACCCCCACCAAGACTGTACAACAACTGGATCGGATATGTCGACACTAAGATTGGCGGCAAGAACTGGGAGAGAGCGCACGGTCGTCCGTGTCTGCCACCCATGATCCTCCATCCCATCAAGGAGGTCAAGCCGACAGAACCCGGATTCGCGACCCAGTTCGAGCTCTTCTACGGCTGAACGTGCCCACGCAGAACTATGGTGTATGATGTACGAACAAGACTTGCTTCAAACTGGGTTTCGTGGTCTCGCTGGCAAGAGCGACGATGTATGAAGCAGAGCACTGGCAGCAGAAACAACCGGACATGAGAGTTTTCAATGGGATTTGGAGGGTACCTATCCTGGAGAACAGGCGCTGCTACGAATACCACTACATGCCCGAGAGGCTATGAATATCAACGAGCTTCAGGCAATCGCCCCGGGAACCGTGGCGACATTTACCGATCCATTCCGTCCATACGCATGCGGGCCACAGGTTAGATATGAAATCGTTACGGTGTTGCCCCCGGAGCGAGACGTTGTCTCTTTCAAATCAACTGTTTCGGCCTTCACGTGTGAAAACGGGGTTACCGTTTTCATCACTAGTGATGCATCTTCAGTAAAAAAACATGGCACATTTTCACTCTTCTTCATTGTCCAATGCCGACAAACCCTGTTCTTTCTCCCCTACCTTACTTTACTCTCTTTTTTGGGCATTTTTACAGCGATTAGACCTTTTCCCTAAACGGCCGGCTTTACTTTTCTAGTTGTACAAAGGGTGGATGTAGATGGATTGTGTGCGTAGGTGGGAAACCAATGTTGCCGGTTTTCGGGACCGAGTGAGCGTAGATATGTAGAGTATCTCTATCCTTCGGGAACTAGAAGATGAGGGAAAACCTGCCAATTGTAATTGTCATGGGTCATATTGCTGGTCTTTCATGAGTGACATGTTGCGACTCTGTGATTATACATGCTGAGCTTTGACTTGCAAATGGGTAGGTTCTACGGTCTTGGCTTGGCCTCTCAAGGCTGGATTATACAAGACTTCAGAACCTGATCTATATATTGCCGATGCAAGTACCAGGCAGCCTCGGGCTCAGGCGTCTATCTAGCTCTCATATGTAAGGACTCCTCGTCTCCGCCAACATGGAAGATGAAAGCAAGTTGATGTGACCGATCTGACTGATCTGGTTCAGTTTGTCCGGGTGATTGATGTCCACATGTCAATGGGCAGACCAGGTGTTGCATGTTGCTAGGACAGTTGAGGAACTTCTGGCAGAAGAGCTTCTTGAATATCCTATTCGGATTAGCAATCTGGGTCTCAGGTTGTTAGTTCTCGGTGAATTATTCGGCCGGTAATATGCCGAGGCAGGGACGGGATGAGGACCGGTGATGAGATTAATGAGAATGGGTTGTTCCGGCTTAGGGCGATAAGCTTGGTGCTTGGGCATCCTGCTCAACTAAAGCCACACGTTCTTGTTGCGTCCGAAAGACTGGAAGATTGAATTTGGATGTGCTGTGTTCAACCACGGAAGCCTGCGCTTCTCGGTGCCTTTATACGGAGCAAGTGGCCGGCGGGTGGCCTCAGGCTGGATGCTTGCTTTCTGGGTGGCTTGATGTTGGGTTTGGGTTTAGGCTTTGGGTTGGGAAGAATGAGATATGGAATTCATTGGGTGTTGATGTGATCTGGGCTGCTTACTTCGTTGTGACAACTCGGCATTACCACATCTACCTTACTGGCCATAGAAGAGAGTCACTCCGGGGCAGTCAACGTGGGTACCAATTTGCTATGGAAGAGGCCGATAGTATAGGCGAAAGACAAATAACCTCTTATGTCACAACAGAATGTCGTCGAATCGCGCTCAGATGTGCGTCCAACGAGGCCGAGGCGGATACCAGGCTGGTGACGGGATCTTCAGAATCTCGGTTTCTGGACTGTTTTGGCAGCCTCACAGGACACATCGGATAGCTACAGACAATAGTTACGATCCTGCAGGCTGGCTCCAGACGCAAGCGAGCACCTGCGCGGCTTCGAGATCTTCACGACGAGTGTGGAACAGAGTTGCGGTGCATCAATGAAGCTGAAGGCGAACCATCACTGGCAAGGAATTGCCTGAATTCGCCCACCTATTTGCCTGATCTGCCTTACCTGCCGTGCCTGCCTAACTGCCTGGTCACTTTGTGGAAGTAATAGACGGACGGGACACGGCATGCATTGCTGGCTCCTGCCGACTTCTCCATTTTTGGGCGGGGGAAAGCGCGCCTGCCGTACCTGCCCCGCGCGGACGTGGAGGCCGTTTAAATCACGTGTACCTTGAATCTATTGGGCAGGGCCTCCTCTCACACCTGCAGCGTACTTCCACTTTGTTTCTTGTTACCCAAATGAGAAACCTACACAGTAAAGCAATCGCAGCCTGCAGCTGATGCCTATAGCCTGCAGACACCTCAGGCAGGCTCTCCTTCGACGATGCATTCCCCGCGCAAATGCGCTCGTGAGTCGTGATGATGGCCTCACTAATACGAACATGAGGCAGCCAGATCCATTCGCAACCCGAGACAGCACCGAACAAGAATCTGTGCCATAACAAGCCCACCTTCAATGCATCGCAAGAAAAGCCTGATGCTGTGCTTGGGGCTACAGCTGCATCTGCTGGTCCAATTGCATCACCTCTATGTGCCGTGGCTACATGACGATGCGGTATAGTCAAAAATGGCCTCACGATAGCGACTCCTATCGAGCCACTGATTCTAGAACACCTTGCATCTCAAACCTCCAAGGGAAAGAAACAGACTGTAGCACCATCGCTTGATGCGGCTCATTGGACACTCGTTTTGACCAGCCAACGGGAATCTCGAAGCTTGCAGCTTGCCCAGCCCAATGACACAAAATGAGGCTTGCAACTAGAATGCAGTGCTGACAGGAGATAAATACCCCGCTCTTCATCATGCTTCAAGTGCAAGAAAGGAGCCGATATCCTGTTGGCACCGTCCTCTCTCAGTCCTCCCTTTGCTTTCGTGACCATCTCAGTAGCTGGCATTCTGCACAAGATGGCTGCCTCTTTCGTTGACTTGGCTGGCATCGCCAAATTGGGTGTACAGCTTGCTACGAAGCTCGCAATCTATCAACTCGGCACCTCTGGATCAGATAGCGATATCCACAGTCTCAGTGACGATGTCCTTGTTACAGCGGCAGCACTAAGCCAGCTGCGGGAATTTCTCGCCGCTGATGCACTTGAGGTATCACCCGTCTACCGGTACGATGGTCGGGAAGCCATCGAAGATCTTGCAACGAGATGTGGAAAGGTGTATACCACCATTATCCGCAGCGTTTATAGAGCAAGTCTTGCTGTCAAAGTCGTCAAAGATGTGGACTTTGAGGCCCTTAGCACGGAGGACCTGAAGGCGTCCAGGCTGCATGCAATCAGCGACAACATGGACTGGGACATGGTCGAGGAAACCATTGAGACGAGCGAGGTCCAACTGCGCTGGCTCAAAGCAAGTCTGCTCCTCCACATTCAAGTAGCTGGTATTGCCGGCCTTCAGATCAAGTTAGTGCTCCTTATTCTGTGACGATGAACGATTGAGCTAACCATTCCTCAGACCGAGATATCCTGGCAGCTTTGACGAGGAATTGGCCTCAAGGAGTCTGGCAATGCGTTTGTTGACGTGCAAGGGCAAAGCCGCCAAGGAACTCGTCGAGATGGCCGAGAGAAAGGAACGTCTGGCGCTTGCAGACAAGCCCGACACTGAAAGCGTTTACGAATCTTCAGCAGCATCATCGGTCAGCGGCAGCGGCATTGACGATGACGCAGAATCCTGGAAGTCTGGCGAGACTGCCAATGACTCCAGGGCGCCATCCATTTGTGGTGGCAAGACGGAGGAGAATGCCAAGGTCACGCCCGTCGTTGAGATTGATACACCTCCTCCTCCGCCACCGCCGATGGCTGCTCCGACAAGCTTCTGGCACCAGCCATGGGATGGGGGCCCTGATGCAGGCCCGGTTGAAATCAAGCTGTTGGCACCGAAGCGTCGATTCCCAGCCAAGGTCTTCAAGTCTGTTGGCAAATGGTTCAAGGGTATTTTCAGCCGCAACACCATGCCACCCATCACCGACCTGGAGCTCGAGGCGACGGTCCTGAGAAATGGACCGTTCCCAGAGTCCTTCTTGGCATTGGAGCCCAAGATGCTACGTCTTGAGCTGAAGCGCATCCTGAAGCAAAGCTCCAAGACACCGGGCGATGCGTTCCTGATCCAGGACGACCAACTTCGTTCTGCCGTTCAGGGTGCTCTCTTCCGCGCCCAAAGAAAGGATGGCCGCACCAGGCAGCTCATCACTGTAGACGTCACTACCCGTCCGGATGTCGCGGTTGTGTACATGTCGGTCGATCCGGCGGCAGAACCCGTTCACATGACTGATGTTCTGGGTCGAAAGTACGATATTCCGTTTGAGCAGTGCCGTACCGTTCAAGTAAGATCACCCCCTTTCGGTACTCCATGAATCTTCAACTAACCGGCGTCTACAGGGTGCACGTGTATCAATCCACCAACGCTTCAAAGACGTCAACAGGCTCTGGAACCTCGTAAGGGACGGAGCATATGAGATCGTCGACGAGAACGACACTGTCATCACGCCAGAGGCATGGCAAACAACCATCAAGCCCGGCGCCGTTCTCCACATGCGCATCTCGGCCTTCAACGACGGCATGAACGGAGGCGTCTTCGTACCACCCGGCGCGCCGGACCCGCTCACGTGGGCCGAGCCTTACACACCGCCGCCCATGCCTCCAGGCTGCTGGAGGGGACCCCCCATGCCTCGGGGGATGCGCCCGCCGGGATTCTGCCGTCCTGGAGGCCCGGGGCCGAAGAGATGCATGCCTCCTCCGCCACCGCCTACTTTTCCGCGCGTTATGCCGCACGTGATCACAGTTGAGCCTAGAGAGCGTGCGGAGCTTGGCTTCGAGCCCGACTTTGGGCCGAACCTGACGCGAGAGGAAGACCTGGGCGAGGGGCGGAAAGACCTCGGTCGGTGGGTTGCTTTGTGGACTAATGCTACGGACACGGATTTCACCTCTGACTCGGGCGGTATCCCGTCTTATGATGATGCTTCTTCCATTATGTCTGGGTCGTCCTCGTCCTCGGACGAGATTGTGGATGATTGAATCATCTTAACGTTTGTTCCTCCTCGTTAGCAACGTGGCTCTGAGGTTTTAAGCCTTTCACTTTGCTGATCTGTTGGGTGTCACTCTTTTCGCCCTCAGTACCTATACGTTTATGATGTTGTCACGATTATGATTAGGCAGGTTGGACTTGGGCTTGAACGCCTCCGTTCCTCAATTGCGTTTCGTTCGAATATGTCAATGTTGTATCCGTATGGCCAGATATCGTTATTTAATTTCTCTAATACATGACAAGTCATACTTTGTTTATGCCACTTCGAAATACTTCTCAGAGAACTCGAGCGTTGAAGCGACTCAAGGAAGCTCTGTGATACGGGTCACCTCCTCTTGGCGCCCTGCCTTCATGCACGCAGAACACAAACCCAAGAAGCTGTAGTGTGGCTATGTGGCAAGGCGTTTTTCAAGCTAAAGCAAGGGTCTCACTGGTTGTCTTCCACCCCATGCAGGTTGATGTGTCGCACTTGCACCCACGTCAGCATGTCTTCCAACGGTGGTTCGCCAGAAAGCCACAGCAGGCAAACTCTCGCAGGTTGAGCAGCCGCAGCAGGGCTGACCGGCTTGATTGGCTCTTGATCCTGCCCTCGAATAGTCAAATCATTATGTTCCGGATTCCTCCCAAGGCCCTCGAGGCCTCTGAAGTTCTTCCTCTGCCACCCAGATTCAACACACCAGCAACGCATACGGCTTATCTTACCTTCGTCACCCATGGCGGATCCTTTGTCGACGGCAGGCAGCGTTGTCGGGATCATTTCCCTCGGCATCCAGGTCGTGCAGTCAATCTACAAGTACTACAGTGCCGCGAAAGACCAGCATTCTGACATTGGTCGCACCCTGCGGAAACTCGAAGATTTGCAATCCTTGTTCGAAAGATTGAACACGCATCTCAGCGATCGGAAATTTCGATCCAGTGAGGCGGCTCTGCTTCAAAACATTGAGTCCACGATTCAACACTGCGAGGAGTCCATCGACGAGTTGGAACAAGAAGCGAGGAAGTTTGAGAAGAAACCGACCGACGGTGCTCGAGCTGCAATTAAAGGTGCCGTTCGTCGGTTGGCATACCCGTTTAGGGAGAGCACTCTCCTGAAGCTGCACGAAGACATTGACTATCTCATCAGTCAACTGTCTCTAGCCTTATCGCTACTGCAGCAGCAGACCATCGATCTCGTACAAGATGAAATCGAGAATACCAATGCCATACTCAACTTAATCCGAACCTCACAAGTCTCCTCCGAGATCCGAACTTGGCTCAATGCTCCTGACGCGACCTTCAACTTTACTGAAGCATGTTCGAAGAAACACCCAGGAACTGGTGCTTGGTTCGTCAACGGGCCTGAATTCACTCGCTGGTTGGAGGGGTCAAATTCGTTTCTTTGGCTGAAGGGCTTTGCCGGCTGCGGAAAGACTGTTCTGAGTTCGACGGTCATACAGCACACCCTCCGTCACCGTAGATCAAACCCCTCCATCGGGCTCTGTTTCTTCTTCTTTTCATTTAATGATGAATCCAAACAAGATGCATCAGCTATGCTCCGAGCGCTCATTTTGCAGCTATCTGACCAACTTGACTATGTTCCATCCGCACTGCAAAGAATACACGATTTGAGGAAGAAACACAACATTCCACCGTCCACGGCAGATCTACTTCAATGTTTCCGTCAGGTCTTACAGCTTTTCCAAAACGTCTACGTTATTTTGGATGCACTAGACGAGAGCCCTCGGGAAACTAGTCGATTCGGTCTCTTGGAAACATTGAAAGAGATTCGGGATTGGTCAGAGCTGGGAGTACATCTTTTGGTGACCAGCCGAGATGAAGTAGATATTCGCGAAGGAATAGATATCGAAGATCAAGCGACCATCTTGATGAAGCACCAAGGGATAGATGATGATATTGCGAGCTATGTCTCGCAATTTCTCCAACAGCGTCTTAAGCGTTTGAACGAGCACCATTCCCTGATTGAAAAGGTCTTGACCGAGAAGGCACAGGGCGTGTGAGTAGACGCATCTCAATCTGAGACTGTTAATGCTGACGACTGTAAGTTTTCGTTGGGTTGAATGTCAGTTCAAAGCACTTGCGACGTGCCCAAGGAGCAAGCAGGCTCTCGATCGACGACTTCAATCATTACCTCCAACGTTGGATGAGACCTACAAAAGAATGCTGGAGAATGTTCCCGACAAAGACTACGCCAAGCAGATGCTGACGATTCTCTGTTGCGCATCAAAACCGTTGACTGTGCAGGAGCTAATCAACGCTTTGGCAATCGAAATCGGTGCCACGTCCTTCTTGAACCCAGATCGGCAATTGCCAGATGCAGACTCTCTTCTCGAAATCTGCCCGGGTTTCACAGAAGTAGCCATAAAACCTTACACGAGACTGGCTGTCATTCGAATTGCCCACTTCTCTGTACAGGAATATCTCGAGTCTGATCGAATTCTCCTACCGCAAGGATATGATTCTTTCAGTATACGCGAGCGCTGTGGAAATCTGCTGATGGCGTCAATGTGTCTCACTTTGCTGCTAGAATCTGAATTACAGATGTTCGGACGTGTAGAGACTGTGGAAAAGTATCCTTTTGCGGAATATGCTGCCAAGGAGTGGGTGAACCACTGGAGGAAGGGCATTGGGATTTGCGCCGCATTATACGATAACCACAGCCACTGCAACCTTGAAGTATCCCACGATAGTCTCGCTCTACGGCTCCAAGATCAGATGCTACTACTTTTCAGAGACAAGAAAGGGGCAATGAAGAATTGGTATAAACTATGGGACCTTGATTGTGGCTGGTTTGGGAGGAACGACGAGATGCCATCTCCACTTTACTATGCATCCCTTATCGGTGCTCGCTTCCTGGTAGAACGCCTCTACGAGGACTGTAGAACACAATGCAGCCTCAAACATCCAACAGAAAGATGCATCGATCATATGGGAGGAAAAAATGGAAGCCATGCTACACCATTACAAGCAGCGGCAGCTTTCGGTCATCGAGACGTGGTAGAATTCTTCCTTGACAAAGGAGCGGACCCAAACAAGGTTGCGCAGACGCCTACGGCATCTCGCACTCCTTTGATGACGGCTTCGGCTCGTGGTCAGACAGAAATCATGGAGTTACTGCTCAAGCGTGGTGCGGAGGTCAATGCCGTTTGGTCCTCCGTGTCGTCAAGGAAACCCTTTGGTGGCGGACGACAGCAGTTGGGTTTTATTCATGAATTTCTCACTGCATTAGTAGAGGCATCAAGGTTTGGTCACAAAGAAGCCGTGAAGTTATTACTGCAACACGGAGCAGTTGATGATGTTCACTTCGGATTCTTTTGTGCCTTGACGGCAACGATGCGCCCTTTGTCCGCAACCTCTGGGTCCTCAAAGTATGCTGCGTGTAGAGAACTCCTTTTCAAAAGTTTTGATGGCTTCAAGGGCACTAAGAGTCCTGGAATTTTGAAGATCTATATGGATGTAGCGGCGGTAACCGGAAACGCAGACTTTGTCCGAAAGTACCTGGACAAATGGATCCTTTATGGAAAGCCTGGCTTTTCGTCCGGAAAATTACTTCAGTTAGCGTCAGCCGGTGGGCATCGAAATGTTGTTGATCAACTCCTTCAGTCGAAGGCTAGGATGACCGGCTCTGCTCGAGTCCGCCAGATATCGTCATTCAGAGACGCGATTGGACCGGCACTTCAAGAAGCATCAGGAAATGGACATCTTGAAACCGTTAAGCTTCTCCTAGGCTTTGGAACTGATGTAAGTTTTCCTCTATGTGGCGTCGACTTTCGATCCGCACTGCAGAGAGCAGCAGCCGAAGGACACGAAGAGATAGTGCAGCTTCTTCTTAACAACGGCGCCACTCCCAACTCTTCGGACGAGACTCACATGCCAGCACTCTATGCAGCATCACTGTTGGGTAGTGAGAAGATTGTTCAGCTTCTTCTGGACGCAGGGGCGGATATCAACGCTCGGTTTCAGGGGGGAATATTCGAATCTGCATTAGCTGCAGCGTGCAACAGTGGTAAAATCGGAGTGGTGGAGATGTTGATGGCTCGAAGCGTGTCTTGCCTGACAGGAAGCGTTGTGGCTACAACAATACGGGCTGACACGGAGGGGTCTGCGGATGATCATTGGGATCTTTGGGACCAAATACTTTCTCACTTCATCAAGACTGGAGTTCGGAAGTCGCTCTCACTTTTAAAGAAAGGAAATTCCAAGAAACTGGAAACCTGGCTTCGAACAGAAATTTCGGACTTCGAACTAAAGGCCCTGGATCCTCTCTCCGCAGCGTCATTCGGAGGCCATGTGGATATTGTTCGGAAATTCCTCAAAAGTTTGAATGAGAAAAGTATCGAGAACCGAGTTCCAAGACTACGAACAGCACTTTCAGCGGCGGCAGCAGGCAGCCACCTTGAAGTTGTCAAGTTAATTCTCGACTTTGATCGTGCGATACCCTTACGAGAACTCGATTTGAAGAGAGCAAGGTATTTAGCATCACTGATGAAGAAACCTTATCTTGTGGACTGCCCTCACATGATGGAAGACCATGGCATTGTACAGGTCTTACAAGAAAAACTCGAGAGCTCACTCCAAGATGACATTCTTGAATTGACTCAGCTCTTCGCACAAGACGGCGATTGCTGAACACATCGAAACCTTCGGAAGTTGTTATATGGGAACCATTGAGTGGTTGTGTTATGGTAAATGACTGGTGAGGTGAAGAGGATCGGGTAGAGAATCTACGTATGCCCTATCTATTTCGTGTCTCTGCTCCGACCGTGTTGTACAGACTTTTCAATGTCATCAGGCGGACGTAATACCAGTGACGTTTGTACTGTAGCCCGAGGAAGAACGTTTAGGAATTGCCCAGCGAAAAGGTCGACGGGTCTAGAGGAGATACTTGAAAAATTAAGCCGGAACCAGCTGCTTCCGAGTACCATCACCACAGTCCGCATACCCCTCCTTCATTTCTTGAAAACGGTCTCCTCCAACCTTCGCCCATCATCAAGAACCACAGCCTCAGACCCAACCATAACAAACAAAACCCTTGTAAACCCATCCGAAGCATTAACCCACTCGTGATTCACCCCTCCCTGCACAATAACCTCCCCCGCCCTAACAACCTTCTCTTCCCCGCCATCCAGCCTAAGCACAATCTCCCCAGCCAGCACGCACGCATAGTCAACACTGAGAGTCCGGTGCATAGGCGCCTTATACCGGGGCGGGAAATCCGTGAGACAAAAGTACGTCCCTGCCGCTGGTGCGCGCGGGAGAGATGTTGATAAAGTTTGCAGAGGTGTGTTGGGTGCGTTGGAGGCTGGGAGGGACGGGGTTGTGTGAAAGGAGGTGAAGCTGCTCGCTTGGGGGCCGAAGGGGTGGAATGGCGGGAGGACGGCGTCGGATGTGAAGATTGAGGTGCCGTTGTTGGTGTGACCTGTTGTTATGAGGCGGACTGGGGGTAGAGGGGTTGCTTGTGGTGCGGTGTTGGGGTTTGTTTGGTCTGACATCTTTGTTGTGAGTTTGGTGATGACTGATGGAAATGCTTGATGATCTTCTTGAGTGAGGTTCGGATGTTGCGTGGGAGAAGCGTCTTGTGATGATGTACGGATGTCGTTGATTGTTGTTCGGAACCCAGTCTTGGCGAGACCTGCACTTTTTATATCTCACACTCAACCCATCATCAACCTCAATAAACATCCACATAATCACCTAACTTCAAGCTTCGTGCTCGCATTCATCTAGATGCCCCGCTCACCAAATGCGACGCCATCGCGTTAGCGGCGGATAACGGCCCAGGAAACATAAGCGCTAGCGAATAAGGCAGGAAATCAAGCTTCGATCAACACCTGCAAAGACATTGACCAAGCCAATTACAGCAGTCAAGCTAACTGCTTGTGGCATCTTGCTTTGAAACCTCGTGCAATTGATGGTAGCATTGACAGGAAGCGCGCGGCTTCTCGGGACGCGAGGTTCAGCGCGAGACCCTTGAGCCTAGTCTTTGGTGATGATCGTTGAGGGGGGGGATTGCTTGGGTAAGCGGGCGTATGCTTACATATTGATACTGTCGAATCCATGTAATGAAGATGTTCGTGGCAGAATGAATCGCGACTCGGTCTCGAGTGGTATCTTATCGCCGTTGTGGTGCTGGCATGGGCACGTATTTGCCAAGGGGGAGCTGAATGCGAACTGGTGATGTAAGATACCCGACGTGACGTCAAATGCAATAGCATCATCACTGCAGAAATGCTATAGCGATGAAAGAACTATCTTCTGCCTATTTCCCCCTCTGTCGCAGGGAACCCACAAGCTGATCAGCCCATACAAGAGCAGGCACCTGTCACCCTTAGGACACGAAGACCGAGAATGCACCACACTAGTAGACGTCCAGGATAGCGATAGCACGGCAGACTTTCTTGCCGTCCCACGCTGACCGACCATAGGGAACTTTTAGTCTGCGAATGCTCGCTTTATGCAGTGCCAAACTGTCCTTGATATCTCGAACATGAGTAGTCGAGGCCACGCAGTATCTCGAAGTATATTGTCGCAAAAGCGTGCTATGCAATTCTGTGATGGCACGCCCAAGTGTTGTAAGCCGAGTTACTACCGCCTCTGTATATCGCGGGGCTGTCACTGACACCGAGACTCTTTGATTGTGACTCCGTCTTATGATGAACACGATTAGAGCGTGCTTGGAATGAGAATATCATACGAAAGCAAACAGGGCACAGGGTGTCAAACATTAAAGCCAGAAAGCCCATGAAGACCCGTTGTTCAGCCAGTCAAGCTTGCTTGTGCAACTCCAAAAACCTCATGGGAGTCTCCTCAGAGATAAGCATCGTCCCGCGTTATTTGCTATCGCCAAGCGGCCGATCCCGAGTCTCCAAAGGAACCCCAACGAGGCCCAAGTCAATGTCCATATTTTCGCGTGATACAACACCTGTTCACGAGACGAGCCTGTTCACGAAGAACATAGTAGGGCGTTGGAGGTGGGAAAGCAAGATGCCAGGATCGTCAACGGACCAGAGCCTGGACGACTATCAGAAGTGAATAGAACACCCATTTTACTTCCCTGAATCGGACTCATCTACAAGAACGCTGTGTCAACAGCTGGGATTGATCACCTGCCTCATATCTTAACCACAGTCACCATCATGCGCGCTATCGAGAATGATTCACTCCCTCAACACCACCCTCTCCAGCAACATCATAAAACAAAACATCTCCACCGCGAAATCAACAAACATTCTTTTTCTACATCATCAACCAATCAACCAAACCAAACACTCAAAACACTCAAGCAATCCACCAACTTACCACTTTCTCAAACATCAACTAGCAATCTTCTGTAAAGAACCATACATCAAACCACAACGATTACCCAAACAACCGACACCATCAACCAAACCGACGCAATGGCTCCCACTTGGCCCGTCACTCGCCCCAAGCCTCCTCACCCCCCTCCCGACCCGGCTCCCAAGCCCCTTCCTCCCAGCAAGTGAGCAATGGGCGAGATAAGGAAGCATGCCTTGATCGTGGAGTGGTGGCAGGATGGCCAAAAAAACACCTGAAGGATGAAGATGTTCTCTTCTCCATTCACAGTCACACCTCAGCGGTGAAGATACTCTCTAGTAGCTAGTCACAGAGTACCTTAGTCAATAAAACTCAGTCAAAACAAGATACTTGCCTCTGATTCTTCAATATCTGGAAATATGTCTATAATGCCCCGTGAATTCGCAAATGCAACGATGACTGCCTTGATATAAGTCTTCATTCTTAGATACGACGAGGGAAGGCGGCGCATCGAAGTCGTTGAATCAACCTTACGAGGATACCTAAAATGGAAGGTAGTACCGGCCCCGGAGAAAGCGGGTCCGATGCACACCGAGCCGGATTGTCGGCACAGCTGCCGGATCGGAAGATTGCGAACTCAAAATTCGGGATCGGACGACGGCGGGCTAAAGACACTGTCATCTTATAAGAAATTTCTGCATCTCTGCGAGAAAATTAACGATGTATTGATACGACAATCTATACGAGAGCCAACCTTGTGCGAGAAGCACGCCTGGATCACAAGCAAGGATGATCCATAGCAGCGTCGCGGACGTGAACCGAGGATACCTTGGGCTGTAGACATAGAGTTGGTGCCACGAACTGACACTTTCTATAGTTATGTGACGGCGGCCTCGGCGTGCCGACGGTTCAAGCCTAAAGCTTAGCGGGTCTCTCGGGAACATGTTTGAAAGTTTTGTCTAAGACTCGCCAACGGGCGACTCTGCAACCTTAAGTGCCGATGGACAGGGCTTTGCCGGACGAGAAACCAAATCTTCCGGATGTTTCTTTGTGAAGGAATCGTTGAAACCGAGAGCGACGCTAGTCTGAAGGAAACAACTCCAGGTTGCTTTTTCCCCTCGACGTCATGCCACCAAAACGGTGGTGCGGCTCAGCTTCCAGAGTGTGCCTCACCGTCGTGGTGCCCACCTCACCTGAAGCATTGGTGCGCGCAGTAGTGGTTTTTTGGGTAGCAGAGCCTGTCAATCATAGCAGGGCCAATAAGCGCTGGGATGATGGCGTTTGGGTTGCATCCCGGAAGTGTAGCCCTACGAGCTTCCAGACTGGCAGCGCTGGAGCTCGAATGACATATGCCCGCGCTAGGCCCAGGAGAGATTCGAGTCCAGCTTTGAAGGTAACACCTCGCGAATAAAATGCCGGGGCTGTTTTGCCAGTCGCCGGCAAAGCTCGTATTGTGGTCCGCGGATTAGGCAACTCCATAACAACGAGGACCAATGTTCAGCCCACAGAGAGGCAACAAAGCCAAGATTGCGCACAGCGTACGAGATCGTGGGGAAAAACTGGATCTGGTACACCCTCAGGATTCAGCGATGGAGCTGGCGGCGTTCACTCAGCTTGGGAAGGCTTGCGGGACAGCTCAAAATGCGCCGTGTCTCTTTTGGCGGGCCAATCCACGGCTTTTTAGGTACCTTGGCTTGAGCCGGTGGGCGTACAAAGAGCACAGGAACTTATGGAAGTGTGTGGACGTGGAGTCGAACCGCATATAGCCGTATCAACAACGATACGAAGTGGGTTGGGCTTGAGAAGGCGGCACACCTATGGGAAAGGAGAAAATGTTCGGCAATATTTGTGGCAGTAAGATTTGCAAGGACGGGCAGAAGGGATAAATCTTGCAACCATCATAGAACACCGGACGAACGCCTCTTCGTAAACAGATATGGACAGTTGGAAGCGAGGGGGGTCAGAGTAGTCTTCAAAACGCGCCGTCAACGAGACCAAACATGCCATACCCACATGTTGGATCTGAAAGGGCAATGATGTGACGTGAACGATGGCTCGGACTTCACCTCGGAAGTCCTAAGGGGTACCGGCAATTGGTGGACCTGATGGAAGTAAAGATCGCAGAACGGGGAGGTCGGCTGGCAGGCTGAGGTGAGAGCGAGAAAAAAGTCGTTCGGCGCCAAAAGGCAAAAGGGCAGCTACGAACGGCAGCTTTGCCAGAAAGGAGATGGGCGATCGGCACGGCCGTGATGTGGGCGGGTTGAAAAACGGCGCGGAATTGTGGCTGTCAGCATATCAGTCAAGCCGTGGGCTGTATGTACTATGTAGGCCGTCATGCTCCGTTGGAGCATATCTGTGGTCTGTGAGATTCGGCCGAGCTTCGCAGGTAAAAACTGGGGGTGAATTCGATCTATTGAAGTGTGCGTTATGCGCTGTCAGCGGAAGAGAGTGCGAGGAGTGCGAGGCCTAGATAGACGGTAGAATGTCTCGTGTTGTTAACGGTCGTGACCCTGAGACATGCATATGCCTTGCCAACGTCGATGAGAGAAGCGAAAGAAGAGCGGTGGGTTGATTGAGGGGAATCGAGGCGACATGAGGACTACTGCAAGCAGCAGCAGACATTAGCCAGGGGATGGAGAGGCGATGGCATGATGTTGAGGGGCCTCGTCGGATTTGGTGCGTCGTGTGATTGATGTTGTATAATCGCTGGTGTTGTAAAGTTGGAGGAGGTGTCGCCCGGCAGGCAGAAGCCACGCCCATGGCGCTGTCAAGGCACGCCACACGCCTTCGGGCGCCCCAGGAGGGAATCTGCAAGAAGCTTGCGGGAGAGGAAAATTCCGGGTAGGTCGAATGGCGGCAGCGAAAGAGAGCGCGATGAGAGCCTTGAAGTTTCCTGCTTTCTTGCTCGAGCCAGCGCCCGACTCTCTAGCGGTGAGACCCACCTGGCTGACAATGTGAGCAGAGCGTATGAGCGCAAGGTAAGGTACCTTCCAGGAGAACAATAATAAGCGTAAGATGTTGAGTGTGAGTTGTCTGTGGCGCACGGCAGGCGCTAAGCAATTCCTGTATTTTCAACCCGGGGAAGGAGGAGGAGTTGGTGGAGAAGGAGCAGCGGAAAGTTGTGGAAGCCACACTTTACCTCTAAAAATTGTCCGTGGAAGGCGCATGCACAGTACGGATACCCCAATGTGGAAACTGCCGTCACCTGACAAGTGCGGGCAGTAACACAGTAAGATACAACAAGTGGGACTGTACATGCAGGCGCTGCAGGACCGCAGGGCAGGCAGGTAAGCTCCTCCCTGGCTCCTTCATGTAAGATTTCCCCGACCGCAGCATCGTATGCCTATCCCGATGCCGCTTCCCCCGTCTCTCTTACACCGTGCCACCCTCAACAACCCAATCCCGACCTCGTAGCACGGCTATCTGTCGACTTGGCTTACCTCTTTCCATCACATCTCTCTGTTCTCATTCGCCAACTGACGATACCACATCCTGCAGCTCATCATCCATCTTCCATGACCTTGGAATTCTCCCAGACCGTCTCCAAGGTAATCCCGGCCGAGATAATGCTGACTCTGACTCCTTATCCTCCCAGAGTTCCATCAGACCATCGCCTGGCCCGGCTCTCGTTCATCTAGAGTGTCCACTTGAGACTTTGCTGCACGCCATCTCAAGTCCCCAACAACCTCGTGGGTCCCTTGAGCTTCTTCCCCTCCTCATCTTTCTGCGCCGGCTGACCCTAAAAATAGCCCCCAACTACCATGCGGCCGGGGCAATACTCTAAGCAAGCCGGTGACTCTTGCTATGGAGAAAGTATACTACGAGTTTACGGCACATTTCGATACGAGCCGCCCGATGATGTCGTTGAGCCCATGACCAAGATAGGCCCGACCAGCTCCGGTTATCCTGCACATGCTCTGTGTACTACCTTATATCATGAATGATTCGCCCACCAACCGCGCAGCTTAGTCAACCGACGGTGCCGCGCTCTCTTGTTACCTCATTAGTCCCTAACCTTCGTCTTGGCGAATCAGATGCTCCGTCTCCGTACTGGCTCGGTCTGATCGACCCTGGAGACAGCTCGCCGGTGAACGCAACCCAAGAAACGCTTTTTTTGCTTTTTGCACCGTTCTGCATTCGTATCCGCGAAAGTTCCACGTACCCCGACCGACCCGACTGTCTCTGGCGGATACCCGGCCAGACGAGCCTCACCGCCGACTCCAAGACTGGTCTACAGCAGCATCCTAGCAAGAAGCCAGGTCCTTGTCGTGTGCGTCGATCTGCCTTCTCGCTTAGATACGCTGGCAACTGAGCCATGCCCTAGAATCTCGACAACTCAATGGGTCCCTGGAGCGCCGGAATACCTCCCGTGCCAAGCAGTGGAGTGCCCGAACCGTACGAGCCTTCCAGCTGAGCTCAGACGGTCCACCGTGACTGTTGTCGTTCCATCTGGATATACTACGATCTGGTCCAACTTTCAGGCCTCTCGCGGTTGTGCTCCAGTCAGGTCGCACGTTTCCTGGGTGCGGTCAGACCTCTGCCTGCTAGCCCGGATACATACCATCCATATCACATCAGAACCTTCAATGTGTCATTGCAAGCTGGCAGTTGATAGTGGAAATTGTGCTGACATGTTGCATGTCAAAATACCAAATCAAGCGCCCTACGATGCACTGCAAACCTATCGGCACACGTCTGGACCATCCGCGAGTACCGAACCATGACATATAGCTGTCCTCCAAGTGGCCCGTCAGCCTCATCCTTCACCTATTCTCAGCCTGTGTCACACGAGCCCGTCGTAGCCGTCGGTGCAGCTCATAGGTAGACATAGGGCAAGAAATTAGCACCTCCAAGGCAGATCTTGGGTCCAATTTGGGGATCTGACATGATCCGCACCACCCAACCAGCTTTGTCGCATTCCGTCTGCCTGGCTACTGCCACCCATGACAAGCCGGAGCTCAGCCTCATCCCAGATTTGTCCCTGCTTGGCTTTTTCCATCCTTTCTTAGTACGCATCTTCTCTGCCCCGTATCGGTATCGCTAGCTCGACCCGAACGACCTGAAGCATGTTCCATCTACCTCCACATGGCACAACAAACATACCTTCTTTCTCCACAACGCACGTTCGTATCCACCATGAAGGGGACTTGGCTTATTGTTCCCTCCATGTCAGAATGAGGCATGGTAACTGCCCAAGGGGCAGGGGTAGGATGCACCTCACTTCTACTCACACCTCACCTTCTTACTCGCATCAAGATATGCCTGGAAAGCTGCCGGTCTGTGTAGACGCCACCCCGAGGCCTTGGACATGCAAGTGCACCGAGACTATTGATGTCGACCTCCTGAAAGAGGCTAAGGCCTTGAAGGGCTGCTCCAGGCAAGACTTCACATTGATACACAAGTTGTATATAATTCCAACTCTCCCTTCGGATATCTCGACGAAAGCACACAACACCAAGTCAGTCGCTCATCTCCTACCAGTCTTGTGCTTTCACGTTCATCATGCTTTCCACCTTCATCAGCTCCAGCCTTGGGGCTTTCCTCCTTGCTTCCCTCGCCAATGCCAACCCCATTCGTTCGGTTGAGCAAAGGCAGACAGGTTGCGGTACCAACGGTATCGGTAACCGAGAATGCTGGAACGGAGACTTCAACATTGATTCCGATTTCGAGATCTTGACACCGCCCCAGGGAAAGTTGAGAACCGTGAGTATCTTCTCTGCTTGATATTGAACTTGTTCTGACGACTTGAGTAGTTTGATTTCACCCTAAGCAACTTGACCGATGTCGCGCCAGATGGCGTTCACAAGCCGGCCATGTTGATCAACAACCAGTTCCCGGGTCCCACGATCGAGGCGGACTGGGGTGACACCATTCAGATCAACGTCCACAACCAACTCCAGACCAACGGTACCTCCTTTCACTGGCATGGCATGCATCTGCGCGGCCACAATGACCAAGATGGCGCCAACGGTGTTACGGAATGCCCTATCCCCCCCGGACAAAGCAAGACATACTCTTTCCAGTTGACTCAGTACGGTACATCATGGTATGTTAGCTTCTTTGTTGTTGCAGACTTGGACCCACCGACTAATGCGTCTGCTTCAGGTATCACAGCCACTTTTCCGCCCAGTACGGCAACGGCGTTGCAGGCGCCATCCAGATCAACGGACCGGCGTCCGCTGACTACGATATTGACCTCGGTCCATTTGTTATCAGCGACTGGTACTACGGAACTGCAGATAACCTCTTGCGCCAAGCCGAGCTTGTGCCAGCCCGTCCCCCGCCTAGTGACAACATTCTCTTCAACGGCAAAAACATCAACCCACTTGGCGCTGGCGGTCAATACCAGAAGACGAGGCTGACCCCGGGCAAGAAGCACCGTCTCAGGCTCATTAACACCTCTGTTGACAACACTTTCACCGTCTCCCTGGTAGGCCACAGCTTCACCGTCATTGCTACCGATCTCGTTCCCGTGAAGCCGGTCAGCAAGGACAGCCTCTTCATGACTGTCGGCCAGCGCTACGATGTAATCATTGAAGCAAACAAAGAAATTGAGAACTACTGGTTCAACGCGACTGTTGGTGGCGGCGGTCTTTGCGGCGAGACGAAGAACCCTCACCCCGCTTCAATTTTCTTCTACGATGGATCTCCGGATAGACTGCCAGTTGACCAAGGTACACCTCCCGCCAACCTGGGATGCGCTGATACCACCGGGTTTACTCCTGTGCTCTCCCGAACGGCCCCCTCAGACAAGTTTGATGCGAGCAAGACACTGGACATTGCTTTGGACACGCCGACTATCAACGGCGCAGCGGTCTATCGCTGGAAGGTCAATGGGAACGACATTGACGTTCAGTGGGACAAGCCCACTTTGGAGTACGTTGCGGAGGGCAACAACTCCTGGCCGGAACGTGCCAACATCATTGAGATCCCCGAGGCCAACGATTGGACTTGGTGGGTGATTGAGAACACTGGCGCTCTGCCGCATCCCATCCATCTCCACGGTCACGACTTCTTGCTCCTCGGCACTGGCAGCGGCACATTCAGCGGCTCAGAGGGCCTCAACTTTGAGAACCCCACCCGCAGAGACGTTGCACAACTTCCCGGCTCTGGATGGATGGTGATCGCATTCAAGACAGACAACCCGGGCGCCTGGCTGATGCATTGCCACATTGCCTGGCATGTGAGCATGGGTCTCAGCGTTCAGTTCCTCGAGCGAAAGAGCGAAATCGCTTCAACGCTCGACCTGGCATCGATCAAACCGACCTGCGATGCTTGGAGGAAGTATGAGCCAACCGCCGTGTGGCCCAAGCATGATTCTGGATTGTAAGAAGAACGTCGCCTTGGGCTGGCTGAGAACACAAACAGCATATGTGGCGTCCAATTACTGAGAGGACCAACTGCGGTGTGGTGGGCAGTCAACACGAGAGCACCAAGCCAGCCTGGCGCCTCAGCCTTCAACGTCATCCTGCTTTTATTGGCCTTTTTTCGGCTATGACTCGATTTCCGGGCGGTCACCCAACCCTCCATGATTGCCACGGTTTGGTGCGGCGCGGAATCCGGGCCTCTCCGGCCCTGCCATGGGTCACCGGCGCGCATGACAGGTACACCACCTCTTCGCAGCGGACTTCCGGGCCTCACAAGCATTTAGCGCGCACGCGCACTAATTAATGATCGACTTACGCAGCAAGGATATGGGAGGAGAACATTTACTTTTAGCAGGCGCAGGCATTTCATTGGTGTTTTTCCTTATGCATGGATTGGAGTTGTCCGGTTGCTGATACCTATTTTGTCCGCTCCGCTTCATCGATTGGTCTATTTTCATTTACATGGGTTAAAAACATGCATAGAATTGGGTGAGCAGGGTTATAACATGATTTGCTCGGACTTTTCTACAGAAACATGCCTAATTCATTTATTCTTTTTCCCGTCAAATTTCTCAAGTAAAGTAATAATGTTTTCCGCTCACACACATTTTCAGCCCTATGACCTAAGGTGCATGCAATGCAGTAAGCAATATTTTCCTGCGCGATGAGTTGGGAGCAGAGCAGAGAAGAGCAGGATCTCGGGGCGGTCTATCAGCGGAAAGTGGGAGGAGCTGTGCAGGAGTCGGCCGGAGGTAGCGGAATCCCGTTGCACACCAGCAAGCACGCGACTATTGGGACGGGACTCGAGGTGGCTAAGGTGATTAGAGTACTGCTTAGACGCAACCCTCAAAGTCGCCAAATGCCGAGGACTGCGGTAGGGGCGGATGCTACGTCTGGTAGTGGTGTGACCTCAGCTCGCATCGCCCCCAATCTGGCGATTCCCCTAGGCTCGGGATTTCTGGACTTATGTCAGCTTCGGTCGTCGGTCTTGGTGTGTCCGGGTGTGTGGTGCCGGTGGTGTGATTTGAGTGTGCGGATGAGTGCCGCCTTGGCGCAGCTGGATGGGATTTTGACAGCGGAAGGCGACAGACAGTGTCTGGATCTCACCATGGAATGCAATGGATGGGTTACATGTGCGATGAAGAGATCTTGCCTGCTGCGGATTCCCGAGACGGGCGATGGCATGAAGACGGAGACGGAGGGGAACGGGGATGGATGCGGGCGGGGGGTCATTGCCAAGATGCAGCCAATGTTGATCTCGGAGCTTGGCGGGGTTTGGGAGGGACTAGGTTAGAGCTGTCTATCTGTACCGCCGATGGTGTGGGGGTGGTGTCGGGGATCGCTGTGGAGATCTTGCGGGCCCGGGCTCGGTGGAGTCCCGGGTCTGGAAGCTCAACGTCGTTCCTTCCCTGAGACCTCTCCTTCCTACGGGCATCTTTGGTAATTGTACACGTGACCCGACGTACCTTCCCACCTTCCTTCACCTTACCTTCCATGGCTGAGGCACCCTACCTTACACAAGGAGCCTATTCACCTCATTCTGTCACCAGCACACCCATCCGGCCACTTGGCCGGGTGGGTTAGACTCTGACGCAGAGTCGATAGTAAATGAAATACTCCAATGAAGCCGTGCTGGCCTGAGGGGCGCGCTGTTCGAATCCGAATAGGGGCGTGAATTATCGAGTAAGTTATCACCAGCCCCATCCCTTGTTCCTTTCTTTTTGCATTTTTCTCGTAATTCCACGTTAGGGATCTGCATCACCAGTTACAGAGGGCTCACATTTTTGATGGGAATCGACTTTGGAGCATGGGAATTGAGGCTGCATGGTAGATATATGTGGGAAGTATGTGAGTTGGACCTATGCTTTGCTAAGATAGTTCGTGATAAGCGGTTAACTGACTCCGTCCGTAGTGAGGTAGGTCATGCTTGGAATGAATGATCGGACAGCACTTGATAATCCAAGCCACCTATCAGGGAAATAACTGCAAGATACTATCTATCTCATACCGAAACTCTTCCCCCCCAGCCTCCTTCGTGGCAGAAACCGCCGCCCCTCCGATAACACTCGCGACTCGAGTATCCCGGACCATATGCTCTGCCCCCAACGGGTTGCCCCCTCTCCCTACGGCACCTCCTCATAGTCTATGCGCCTCTCAACGACCAGCAGCCACCTCCACGCGCGGTCCAGAGACGTTCTACGCCCCTGTCTCCTTCAAAAAGATGGTAGTCGCCCGGTTGGGGATCTAATCATCGGAAGAGGTACTCTGATAGAGGGAAGATCAAGGTAGAGGAGCTTGTGCGACGGCAAGACGAGCGTTTTTCTGTTCTACGCGCGGAGATCCGAAAGCGTACAGGTTGGCGAGAGCATCTTTGATTGCTACTTTAGTCAGAGGAGTATAGGATTTGAAGGAGAGTGGGAGCTTGGTTAGGGCGTTGATCAGGTGTGCTGCTGATACTCTTGTGCCGCCGTCGCCTTTGACTGTAATGAGATGGAATGATGCCCGTAAAATGCAAAATAACAGAACTATCAGCGATCTCCGGTGAGAACCGTCACCCCATGTTCGGTCATCTCGACGCTGACGGCGCGTTGATTCGGGAGCGCTTTCTTCCTGTAACTGCGGCTATCGCATGCAATCTAGAGGCGCCTCGATCTATCCATCCATAGATACTGGTTGGCCCTAAAAGCAAGTATCTACATGCGCTGCGTGGATACGACAGCAACTATACGGAAAGAGGTAACATCTCTCTTCTTGCATATGCTCGGAGATTGCGACATGCCCTGAGGAACGTAGGCGCCGGCCGCTGACTTCTCTGCATTTCATGAGATGAAGCCAGTCCCCTCGCCGGCTCGGCTCTAGGATTTCCCTGTAGCATCCGAATTGCTTGAGGATCCGCAGACCATTGAGAGGAGGCCGATGCTGGCACTGTACCCACTTGAGGTGCGATGGAGGGGTAGGCTTCGAGAAGGGTGTAGTCCATGTTGTTAAACATTTCAATCATGTTTTCTAGGGCGAGAGTCGCTACACTTCCGGAGAAGGTGACAGTTCTGAGGCATATGGTGCGTAGTGGCGATGATGATGGTGGTGGTAGGGGTGGGGGGGGGGGGCGCGTGGGTGATCGAGGGTTCGGTGTAAGTGACGGCAACACTGCTGGGATATCAAGACATCGGCTGAAGGCAAGGATTCATTTATGGACAAACATGGAAGATTGTGGAGTTTTCTTGGTCTTGTGCAAGTGAGAGTTGACAACGTTTTCGCTACGGTTAAGTCATCCTATGGCGGAGCTCGAATCTTGACAACTTGCACTTGCCCGATAGCAGATCTGATACCGAACATAATCACAACCTGTCTTTCATATAAGTGGCATGAGAGGAAGTGGTTTTCACGACTAGTAACATACAATCTCGCGTCAAAGACTTGAAGGGTGACGCGTGGATCAGAGGACGAGGTCTTTTGGACTCAGTCTCTCGTGGATGTCGTGCTCGTGCAACGACCCACGAGCCGGCTGTACGGGAGATTGAAAGTGAAGTACGAGAGTGATCAAGCGCGCTTGTAGCCATGAGTATTTATTTTCGGGCGTTCGCAGACCTATCAACACAAGGTAGCTGTAAATACTGTGGCTACTATGTCTTCGCAGGGAGACGGAGCCGAGCTAGATGAGAGGTTAATGCGCAGCGTATTGTACTTCCCATGGCTATGGCGTCGAAGTAAGGACCTTAATTCTGGTACATATTCCGTAGGAGATACAGTTTGTGACCTTCTGCATGCGAGATCTGCGCTGCAACCCAGCTTTCGAGCTTCTCCATAGGTCGGGTACAGTCACCCGGAATCGATCTTCCTCTGTAAGCGGTGGTGGCTGCGTCTGGCCCGCCTCATCTCACGTACATGCGAAGCTCGAACAATTTCCAAAGAGCTTGTGCAATAATAACAGATCAAAGCATTCCGTCCTTCGCTGCAAATGATTACATGCCTAGCTATAAGATTAGCTGAGAGTTCCTGGAAACCACCCAAGACAGACAGTAATGGAGCACTTGACTTTTGTCAGCGCATTGGGCACACCTATTCCCGCTGTACTTCTAGGCGATTCAGGCGCCTTGTCCGCGCTAGCAACATGTAAAATTGGGTGAAGTCACTAGGTTTATCGGCAAAGAAAGAAGCATGCCATCAGACTCCTTGCCCCCCTCCGCTGACAACTCTGGAAGAGCCCATTGAATTTCCAGAAAGCACTCTTCCAAGAGCTTCGATGAGATGTATTGCGTGGATGCTGCATTCCTGCACAACATTGGGGTTTGATCGCCCTGACTCACAGTGACCTTCACAACTAGACATCTTACCTCGCAACCATGGCTGGGGATTAGGACTATTGGGTGGCAAGCTCTACAACATCTTTATCCCTGTCCAGAGACTGAACGAGTGGACTTTTCGAACGTTTTTCAAGCATTTCTTAGACTGAACGATACAACTCCGCCAGTACAGCGTTTGGGCCCGCCCATGCAAAGTATGTAGTTACTGACAGCATTACAGAAAAATAGCGACTGAATCTCTCACAGCGCTGAAAGTCTCGTTGGACATTGTGAAACACACTATTCTTATACGATGGATTTTCTATCGCTTCAGTCGCCTCTGCCTGACCACTCCGCGACTACTATTCAGATGGGTAAGCCGAAGCCTTTGACCTAGGAGACTTCCCTGACTCTAAATGGAAATCTTTATCCTGAACTAACTTACGAGAAGTTGAGATCGAAACACCACAATGACTTTGGGATACTCGGGCAAGGCCAGTAAAGTCCGTTCCCTCGAATGGTGCAAAGGCCCTATTTCTCTAGTGGGGCGACCAAAAAGTCTGAGAACATCCCGCCTGCCCATCGGCACGTCCTGACGCGTCTTCCTCAGTTCACCTCAAACGCTCTTGACCTTAATCAAATGGACGCCGATACCGAATTGCGCGCCTTCGCGGCCCGGCTTCGAGGAGAACGGAGTTCTGGCTTCGAACTGAAAGAACAGGAACGAGTAGCAATTATTGCTCTTGTTCTGGGCGGCCGAAGCTATCGCAACGTCGCAGCGATTTTCGGCTGCTCGCTGGGCGCGGTCGCATCGACGGTTCGGCGGTACAATAAAGATCATACTTTCAAGGTAGCACCCCGGAAAGGCAGGCCGAAGAAAGTCTCGGCCGACACGTACGCGAATCTGGTACACATTCCTAGTTCTACATCTTAACACTTGAATAGACAACCAGTAACATTATGATTTGAGTCTGGATAATGGTTGGATTTGCTCGTCCGCTTGTCGCCAAGATTCCAATGGCGGCTCAGATCATGTGCTTATACTGGGCTTTCAACATGCTTTGAAGTCTTGCACGTAGACTGGATTCAGGGGAAACTCTTCACCGAGCTTAGTTCCGGGAATGCAGATCTGCAACGCATGATCTTTTCGAAGACATCACTTGTTGCTCGACACCAAGAATGGGAAATCTTTTTTCTCATTAATCGGTGACCTCGTGGAGTTCTTCAACCAACTCTCTTTACTCATCCGCATCACTTCCCAAGTCCTCAGCGAAGAACTCCTCGGCGGCTTGCTCGCCTCTCTTAGCCACGACCTCCACGGGCTCCTCCTCGTCCTCAGGCTCGGTGGAGACGCGCCTCTCAAGGTCGCCTGCCTCTTCAAGATCGGCCGCCACGAGGTCGGCGTTGGAGAGCTCCTGTCTCTTGATGACGATATCGGGCAAGTCGGCTACCGCCGCCCGGGCGAGAACGGGAGCCTGTGGGATATGGTATTAGTGACACGGCTCAGATATGAGAGATGAACGCAGGGGAGAGCGTCATGTGCAGCGTGGAATGCGGGAAGGATTTTGGGACTACTTACCACGGTGAGGGCTACGCCTGAGAGGCTGAGAGAGTTCACACCAGTAACGGCGACCAGGCCGACAGCGAAGAATGATTGAAACTGCATCTTGAAAAAGCGAATTGTAGATAGTGGTATTATAAGTCGATCGTAATATTAACTGGATTGAAGAGAAGCAGATCTGGGTTGGGAACTTGACACACAACCACCACAGGAAACGCACGAACTTTGACCTGCCTATATATCATTCATAGACCCGGGAGGTTTTTGGAGAGACGTGCGGTCGCCCACATGCCGTTCAAGCGAACATCTGAAGTTTTGCCAGATGACGAATTCGACACTGTTGGGAAACCAGCGTCAGTGTCAAAAGTATAACCGCAACAGTCCGTTTCACATGTTTTGACCAACCCCCCAAAAGGACAGGCCTAAAGCGCTGCAGCCCTGGCAAAGGTCCAGGCATGCCCGCCGCGGGGGAGCCAGCCTGAGAGGGGAACAAGGTCCTAGTGTACAGCTGCAAAGGACGGGCAACGCGGCCAAAAACTCTGACTGCCCGCGTCGCGGTGCTCTCGACCTGTCAGATCTTCGTCTCATGGATGGTGAGCGACCTTTCACAGAACTCTCAAACCCACTGACATCCTTCAGAATTCGCTCACTGTTCAGACGGGGGTCACTGAAGCTACGCGGGCCCTGTCAATCCTCCCTTCCCCCTCAGTAGCCCCCGGGCCACTCGTGGCCCCCCTAAGAGACTGGTGGGAAGAGGTGGGATGAGACCAGAGATTCTATGTGAGGAGGGGCCTTGGGGGCCAACTGCACTGTACATGGGCAGCTGTGGTGAAACAAGACAGGTTTCTGACGGAACTCTCGTGGTGCGACGTTTGTGTGAGAGTGCCAAGCCTGGGTTGCGCTGTTGCACGACCTCTCTCCAGGGATCCACTTTCGCCCTCGCCGTATCCGTAATCGTCAGATCGATTGCGGGAATTTGGGGGTGACAGTTGCCGGTTGCCGATTGAACGTCGGCATATCGGCATGGTTGAAATGCGTCGAAAGGCCTATCACTGTCGGCAATTGAGTTTTGTCGAGGGGGACTGTTGCTGAAATAGCCACTCAAGTAACGTTTTTCAACATAGCCCAGCCAATTTTGTCTGAGGTTATAAATGCGTTCTATACATCAATCAGACAACATGACACAATGCACTGCAGTGTGTAAAAAGCGCCTCAATCGTGAATTCATGTTCATGAGTTCGTAATAGTTCTCTTCATCATTCCAAGATGCCCAACGCTTAAAAAGTGTATGTGATGATCGCTACTCTAAACCCGTCTAAACCATCAAGGTTCTCTCTGAGCTCCTATAAGATGATGATGATTCTAGTACAACTCCATCTTTTCTAAATTTTCAAGATGGATCAATCCATTGGCAGGCTGTTAATTTGTCAGTACTGGATCAACGAATGCTAAGCATCACTGAAAGAAACTTACCGGAATGTATTGCCTCAACTTGACACCCGCTTGCCGGAACACCGCTGCCGTCTCCGTATCCATGCTGTATCCATGAGCATACACCACCTCGTCGATGCCGACCTGGCAGATCTTGATGCTACACGTCAAGCAAGGGCAAGTATCACAGTACAGCACGGCGCCCTCGCGGATACGCTCCCGGCCAGCCTCCAGCAGGGCATTCTCCTCGGCGTGGATGCACAGGCACGTAGCCAGGCCGACGCCAGACGAATTACCCGAGTTGCAGCGGGAGCAGCCGCCGTCGGAGCAGTTCTGCAGGCCGCGGGGCGTGCCGTTGTAGCCGGTGGAGATGACACGTTTCTCGCGCCCGACGAGGACGGCCCCGACGCGGCGCTTCATGCAATTCGAGCGTAGGGAGGCGAGCTCGGCCAAAGACATGAAGTAGGCGTCCCAGGTGGGCCGGAGGCGCACCGGGTTGGCGAGGTCGAGCTTGCCGAGCGTGGCGTAGAGGTGCGCGATGGAGGAGGAGGTGTTGAGGAGGCGGACGGTCGCGCGCGAGATGAGCGGTTGCAGGCCCTGTTTTGGGTCGTAGAGGTGGGTGTCTGAGGCGAGGGCGAAGGACTCGAGGGTGCAGTGGGGATTATGGAGGGCGCGGAAGCGGGCGTGGCGGACTGTCAAGGGAGCATCGACGGAGATGAGCATGAA